GTACCGTTTACCTCCACCATCTGTTCTCTCCCCTCCAGGTAGGATTGCATCCAGCTCACCGATAGTTTATCAAAACCAATTGCTTTTAGCTTGTCAATCAGAATGGGGTGATTGACAGTGTCGAAAGCCTTTTGTAGGTCCAGCATCACCATGCCGCAGTATTTACCCTCGTCCACCTCTTGTTTGATGTGGTCGTTCAAATAAAGAAGGCATGTGTCAGTGGAGTGGGATGTTCTAAAGCCAGATTGAAATTCATAGATTAGTTTCTTTTCTGCGAGGTACTTTTCGACCTGTTCATATACTATTTTTTCCATGACTTTCGAGATGGAGGTAAGTATAGAAACAGGGCGGTAGTTGCCTGGGTCCAATTTGCTGCCCTTTTTGTGCAGGGGGGTTACTCTTGCAATTTTGAAGTCTTTGGGTACTTTTCCCTGTTTTATGGAGAGGTTAATTATGTGAGCTATGACTGGTGAGATGGCGGTTGCTGTGTCTCTGAGGAATTTGGAGGGGATATTGTCGTGGCCAGTGGCCTTGTTAGGTTTGAGGGCGCTCAGTTTAATGAGTACCTCTGCTGTTGTTACCCTTGCTAGACTGAAATCATCTTTGCGTACCCCTAGGTTTTTGTAGTAGGTCATGATGTGATCTACTCCAAAAAGCCCTGAGTGGGAGGGTAATTTATTTACAAGAGTTGTGGCTATGTTTGTGAAAAAAATGTTCAAGTACTTGGCCACATCCAGTTTGTCTGTGATGAGCCTGTTATCTGTCTTTATGTTTAAGTTTGAAAATCTCGTTTTGAGTTTTTTACTGCAGCCAAGCTGGTTATTGAGTAATTTCCAAAGTTCACGGGGTTTATTTTTGTTTTCCTCAGTTTTGTCATTGATGAAATTCTTTTTGGCAGTTTTGATCATGGAGCTTACGTCATTTCTTAGTCTGTTTCTTTCAATTTTTAGTTCAGTCACGTGGGCCTGGAGTTCACTGCTCGTGCTTTTGGAAAGCATTGACTGACTTTTATGAAACTCAGAGCATTTTTTGTCTCTGGTTTTCATGGCGGTCAGTATGCCGGAGTGCATCCACGGCTCAGCGCGATTTTTTACCCTGGTTGTTCTTAGGGGGGGCCAAATCATTGAGTATTGCAGAGAATTTGTTTTTGAAACCAAGCCATGTTTCTTCAACTTGTGTACCACTGAGCTCATCTGACCAGTCCAGGCTCTCCAGTTCTAGGTTAAAGGCCTCGCTAGAGTAGTTTTTGAGGTCTCTAGATATGACTGTTTTGTGACAGCCGGCCTTTTGTTTTAGCTTTTTGCGGGTACAGAATATCATATAATGATCACTTAAACCGCATGCTATAACCCCTTTACTGGAGATCCTGGACCTGTCAGAGGTCAGAATGAGATCAATGGTAGTTTGTGTTGTTTCACATACCCGGGTGGGTTGGGTGATTAGCTGGCTGAAGCCGTGCAGATCACAAATCCTACTGAAGGACTTGAAGACGGACGTGTCTTTACGTTGCATATCCGTGTTCCAGTCTCCAATAATAATTGTCTCTACATCCCCCACATCAGCCAAACACCCATCTAATGTATCATAAAAGTCACTCTGTTCCGGTGGTCTATAGATTGTCCCGACTATTACAGATTTAGCATTGTCAAAAAGAATTTCAACCCACACAGATTCAATATTTTCATGATGCAGGTCAGTACGGTTTTTGAAATTGGTGTCTTTATGTATGTACATGCAGACACCACCTCCATTCACGTTCCTGTCCCTTCTTACTACAAGATAATCTTCAATTTCAATCTCTGAATCTGTAATGGAATTGTCCAATTTGGTCTCAGAAAAGCATAATATGCTTGCCTTACCGTTCATGAACAGTTGCCTGAGTTCAGCCAGTTTGTGTCTCAGGCTGTTAGTGTTCAGATGAAAATCTGAACTCTGAGCCTGATTCTCTCCTTTTTCTCTGCCCCTATTTAAAACACTTTCCCTCCTATTTAAAACACTTGCTAGAGGTGAAATCTCTATTGCAGCCCTGATTTTGGCACATCTTGTAAATTAGTTAAATTTAGCCTTGTGTTTTTATTTAAGTCGCTGTTCATTGTTTGTTATATAAAGCAGATTGAAGTATATCCTATGGACGCTGATGTGTGGATGTTGTGTCCTTTTGATAACTTTGTGGAGCTTGTTTTTAGCTGCATGTCTTTTTCTTTCTCACTGAACAAAGTCCCTGTGTGTGAACTGCTTCAGCTGGTGAGGCTGGTTATGAATCAGAGGGAGGAGCTGCAGACAGGGAGGAAAGGGGAAAGTAGGAAGGCAGACTGCCAGACGCCATTTTACAGCTCGTCAGGAGGAGAACAACAGGGTGAGTGTTAACACTAGGATCTGCTTTTGAACACATTCATTATTTACTCTGTCAAACTGGATGTCAGAAAATAACGTATTGGTTAAAAATCTGCGTCCTAGAGTCCAATGAGACTTATGCAAGTGTTGTACACTTTTATTATTTCCTGTTTTCCTGTTACATAACATGTGACAGCCCAGCGCAGTCAAAGTGTGTGTGTGTGTGTGTGTGTGTGTGTGTGTGTGTGTGTGTGTGTGTGTGTGTGTGTGTGTGTGTGTGTGTGTGTGTGTGTGTGTGTGTGTGTGTGTGTGTGTGTGTGTGTGTGTGTGTGTGTGTGTGTGTGTGTGTGTGTGTGTTACTGGTTTATCTCTCAGACTGGAGAAGATGAGTGATGTAAAAGAAGAGGAAGAGGACAAGTCTTCAGTCTCCAGCGGTCTGTCTCTGAAGAGTGACTGGTCTATGGAGAGTCCTCCACTCTTCAGTAATGAACCTGGACACTCAGACACAAAGTAAGAGTCTCCACTGTAACCTGACCTGAAGAGGATCCAGTTTGTTGGTATCTGATCATCTAAACTGTTTAATGAAACCCAGTAGAGAACATTAACAAAGTTGAATTGATCTCTTGCTTCTTGTCATCATCAGAGATAGTAAATAATCTACTAGTGAAATCGTCCTCACACTCTACATGTTGGACTTCGTGTTAAATTAAGCAAATAAAATGCAAATATGTAAAACGTTTCACACTCGAATGAATTTGAACAACAGAAACCCACAATCACGACTCAACAACTCTAAAGATCTTTCATAAGGTGAACAGTCATAGATCAAAAGCTGCTCTTTAAATGAACTAATGATGTTTAAACATGTGTTGTTTCCACAGACAGAGAGCAGGGTCTACGGTCTCCATGTGGTCTCTGAAGAGTGACCGGTCTAAAGATCATCCTCCAGGCTTCAGTAATGAACCTGAACCCTCAGACACAAAGTAAGAGTCTCTCCTGTAAACTGACCTGAAGAGGATCCAGTTTTGATGTAATCTAATATATGAAACTGTTCTTTAATGATATCATGTGAGCAGTTTGTAAAGGGAAAACGCAGCAGAGTAAGCTAACATTATCTAAGGATATTTCAATATGCAATTATATTATCATTGTATCTGTGTATAAAATGGTTTTAAATAGCAACAATATTGATAAATACTGATTTAAAAACGATATATATTGTCCAAAACATTATTTAACTACTTGGGCATATCTATGATATGTCTTTTTAAGATGTTTATTAATAATAGTAATAACCTGGTGAGCTGGTTGTGTTTAGCATTAGCAGATAAAACAGAGTTTTGTGAAATCACATGTAGAGTCAATACGAAGACCCAGATCCGTGCCTGGCAACACGAAGGAAGTGAAGATGTTAAATTCATATCACCTGCGTATTCGTGCAGCGTGACACATTTCAACTTAAGTGTAAAGTTTGTGACGCTCTGTTACAAAAACCTGTCAGTGTTGAGATTGTGCTCCTGGGGTCTCTGACGGTCTGAGGGGAATCAGAGAGGAGAACAGAGCTCGACAGCAGCTCATATTCAATCAGGGTTATTCATGTTCCTGTATAAACCAGAGACTGTCTGTGGTGCTAACAATATAGTGACTGCTGTACTTATGACTTCATGAAGTTACTCTGAGTGTTGATGGAGCAGCTAATGTTAGCCTAGCTTTAATCAAACCCATCTCTTCAGAAAAAAAAAGGAAAAAAAATGTTATGCTCGTTGTGTTGGAGACAGACCTGACAAAGCATTAACTCAGGCTTTTTACACATCAGTATCATTCTGTTGTTATTTAGGCATCCTTTCCATATGTTTATTTATATTAATTCACAGCAGATTCTATGCAAGTTGGGTTTATAGTGCACCAGGTTAATACAGCTGTGTGTGTAGATACAGGGAACATGTGCTCCTCTGGGGGATGAATCCAGACAGGATGCTCTCTGGTTTTATGATCATGTGAATTGTAAGCTATACCTGATCACAAGGGTATATATTATATAGACCCTTTTTAAAATATCAAACTAGAATGTGCCCCCTTGTTGTACCTTTGGTGAGAATCAGCCCCTCTGAAGTAAAGTGCTATAAAGGATGTGTTCCTCTCCACAGAGGGAAGAGGAAGAGTCCTGTTCCCTCTGTGGAGGAGCGGTTGTCCAGCTGTGCTCTGTGTCAGGACGTCCTGAAGGATCCAGTCTCTACCAGCTGTGGACACTGGTTCTGCAGACAGTGCATCACCTCATACTGGGAGCAGCGCCCTCCATCAGGAGACCCCTGCTGTCCCCAGTGTGGAGAAAGATCCAGAACCAGAGCTGGCCTGCAGACAGCTAGTCAGACCAGCTCTGTACGAGGTAAGAGGCCGAACTCATGCAGCGTCTTATTCCTCTTCCTGGTTCATTTGTTTTTTTTTATTAGGTATTCTGTTGAAGAACATAGACATTAAAATGTTTATAAAACATTTAAACTCAGTCTGTTTTTATTAGTTTTATTGTTAAATTCTTAAAAGCATTTTCTGATTCTCTCGTGTTTCCTTCTCTTCCAGCAGAGAGTGGTCTGCAGGAGGTTTTAGATGAACATAGGCTCAGTCTGAGGAGGAGATGTGAACGTGTGACTGAAGGAACTGATGAAAGTGAAACCCTCCTCAACAGGATCTACACTGAGCTCTACATCACACAAGGCCAGAGTGAAGAGGTTAATACCCAACATGAGGTGAGGCAGCTGGAGACAGCTTCCAAGAAAGAGACCCTCCATGACACTCCAATCAAGTGCCAGGATATCTTTAAAGCCTTACCTGACCAACAGTCTCTCATCAGAGTGGTCCTGACCAACGGAGTCGCTGGAGTTGGAAAAACCTTCTCAGTGCAGAAGTTCACTCTGGACTGGGCCGAGGGTTTGGGAAACCAAGATGTCAGTCTGGTGATCCTGCTCTCCTTCAGGGAGCTGAACCTGATCAAAGGTGAGCAGTACAGTCTTCTCAGGCTGCTCCATGTTTTCCATCCGACCTTACAGAAGGTCACAGCAGAGCAGCTGGCTGTCTGCAAAGTGCTGCTCATCTTTGACGGCCTGGATGAAAGCAGACTTTCTCTGGACTTCAGAAACAATGAGGTTGTGTCTGATGTCTCACAGCAGTCCTCAGTCAACGTGCTGCTGACAAACCTCATCAGGGGGAAGCTGCTTCCCTCGGCTCTGGTCTGGATAACTTCCAGACCTGCAGCGGCCAATCAGATCCCTCCTGAGTGTGTGGACAGGGTAACAGAAGTACGAGGCTTCACTGACGCCCAGAAGGAGGAGTACTTCAGGAGGAGATCGAGTGATGAAGACCTGTCCAGCAGAATCATCTCTCACATCAAGAGCTCCAGGAGCCTCCACATCATGTGTCTGATCCCAGTCTTCTGCTGGATCACTGCTGCAGTTCTGGACCACATGTTGACTACAGACCAGAGAGGAGACCTGCCCCAGACCCTCACTGACATGTACTCACACTTCCTGCTGGTCCAGACCAAGAGGAAGAAGCAGAAGTATGAAGAGGGACATGAGACGAGTCCACAGCAGCTGACGGAGGCTGACAGGGAGCTTCTTCTGAAGCTGGGGAGGCTGGCGTTTGAACATCTGGAGAAAGGACACATCATGTTCTACCAAGAAGACCTGCAGCGCTGTGGTCTTGGTGTCACCGAGGCCTTGGTGCACTCAGGAGTTTGTACAGAGATCTTCAAAAGAGAGAGAGTGATCTTCCAGAAAACAGTCTACTGCTTTGTTCATCTGAGCATTCAGGAGTTTCTGGCTGCAGTCTACATGTTGCACTGTTACACCAACAGGAACACAAAGGTACTGAAGGACTTCCTGCAGGGAGACTGGGACTATATGAACAGATATGACAGTGATCAGGATTACCCATCCCTGGATGTCTTTCTAAAGGGAGCCATGGAGAAATCTCTCAGAAGTGAAAATGGCCATCTGGACCTGTTTGTCCGCTTTCTCCACGGCCTCTCTCTGGAGTCCAACCAGAGACTGTTAGGAGGCCTGCTGGGTCGCACAGACAAGCGTCCAGAAATCATCCAGAGAGCCATCAACAACCTGAAGGAGATGAACAGTGATGAAATCTCTCCTGACAGGAACATCAACGTCTTCCACTGTCTGACAGAGATGAAGGACCACTCAGTACATCAGGAGATCACAGAGTTCCTGAAGTCAGAGAACAGGTCAGAGGAGAGACTCTCTGAGATCCACTGCTCTGCTCTGGCCTACATGCTGCAGATGTCAGAGGAGGTTCTGGATGAGTTGGACCTGAAGAAGTACAACACATCAGATGAGGGGAAACGGAGACTGATTCCAGCTGTGAGGAACTGCAGGAAGGCCAAGTAAGTCCAGATGTGATTAACTTTATAAACTAATGTGGATCAGGAGTTTAATTATTCAAATAAACACTATAACATTTCTGCTGTTTAAATACAGAGAGCAAAATAAACCAACACTGTTCTTCTATTTATTTATAATAATAGTTAAACTGAAGTGTTTCTCTCTTCATATTGAGTGATGGAGGCGACATGTCAAACACATGAAGGACTCTAGAGGTTTCTCAGCACGTGATCACACCACACAGCAGGACTTACAGTTATCAGTTATTATTACTTTCTAGTAGTTTCTTTATCATTAAACACACACACGTTTTTATCACAATGTGTTAGAGTTTAAAATAAGATCTATATCAGATCCCACCAATACCAGAGTTATGTCTTAATACTCATATAGTGAGAACATCTGATGGTATCAAGTTTAAAATATTGAAACTTTATTGGTTTGTTAGCTGTGTTTGTGTGCACAATACATTTCCAGATGCTCAGAGAAACCAAAACATCCATCATTCACATCTAAATATTAATTAACATTTAAATATGTACATCTCTAATATTGTCAAGTGATTTATTTAATTTCTGTTTCTTTGGTAACAGTCAGTGACAGCAGGAGCACAGACCTGTGATCAGATCACACTGACAACACATTACACTCTATTATCATATATTATTAAAATGGACTAACAGCAAATCTCAATCAGAACATATGTCAAATATGTTTTCATCAGAATGCTTGAGGTCATTATGTTTCCTCTTTTTTTTAACACATGTTGTAATTTATGTGTTATTATAGACTTACTCGCTGTGGACTCTCAGAGACTCACATATGAAGTCGTGGCCTCAGCTCTGAAGTCTGATCCCTCCCATCTGAGAGATCTGGACCTGGGTGAGAACCCTCTGCAGGATTCAGGAGTGGAGCTGCTGAGTTCTGGACTTAAGAGTCCAAACTGCAGACTGGAGGCTCTCAGGTCAGTTCACTGACTGAACTTCATCTGTTTGTGTTTATCATTTTCTGAATTTGAAAAAAATATATTAACGTTTTTTTTCCACTTTTGCTAATGACTGAATATTGATCAGCGTAACAAAGAGAAGGTGAATGTGTGAGGGAGAGTGTTTGAGCTTCCACAGACTCACTCTGTGCTCCATGAGTCAGTGGAGATGCTGTCAGTACTGATGAGCTGTGAGGGAGATGAAGGAGTTGTTAAACATCTGATCAAAGTTAAAGTTCCAGATTATCAATGGATTGTTTCTACATCATCTCTGAGATTAAAGGTCTCCTATCATGCAAAATGCACTTTCTGATGTCTTTTCTACATCACTATGTGTCCCTATGTGTCCCCTATGTGTCCCGGTGTGTCACCATGTGTCCCCGGTGTGTCACCATGTGTCCCCGGTGTGTCACCATGTGTCCCCGGTGTGTCACCATGTGTCCCCGGCTTGTCCCCGGTGTGTCCCTATGTGTCCCCGGTGTGTCAGGAGACTCACAAAGTGTCAGGAAACAAAACCCTCTCTCTTTTCCTCCGTACCCACATCTCTAAAAACGGGGGAACAACGGAGCTGATCCAGATTTGCTGCGTCATGACGGCATTACTAAATTGTGGGTGGGCTTTACACCAACGGGCCAATCAGAAACTTTGCTGTCAGAAACAATGAGACGTGTTCTGGAAGTAATATGGTCTGTGTTCACATTAGCATGCTAACATTCAGAGCTAACCCGTACTGGAGAGAGCATGTGTGAAGAAGCAGGAAATAAGAAAGGAACTCACCTTGTGGTAAACCTGAGAGAGAAAGAGTTTGAGCTCCATGCTGTTTCAGAGAGGAATCCTTGATGTGGTTTGGAACATGATATGAGTTTAATCACGGCAGTTTTCTGCTGGTAGAATTCTGAGCATGCATTAGCTCCACCTCCTTTTTTCTTTTTTTCAAGCTAAGGACACGAACCTGCTCTTCTCTAACAGCTGAAACAGAGGGATGTGAGGGATTTCTTTAAAACCCTGTTTAACTCTGAAATAACTCCAGGTTTAATAATCTGTTCAAACAGGAACTTTGTTTTCTAAAGTTACATCATGTTTTCTTTATTCAGACTGGAGAGCTGCAGTTTGTCAGAGATCAGCTGTTCTGCTCTGTTCTCAGCTCTGAAGTCCAACATCCATCTGAGAGATCTGGACCTGAGTGGGAACAAGCTGAAGGATTCAGGAGTGGAGCTGCTGAGAGATCTTCTGGAGAGTCCAGACTGCAGACTGGAGACTCTCAGGTCAGTTCACTGACTCTCTGTTACTGCTGGAGATCTCATGTTTCATTAGTTATTCAACCTGATTCTTCTACATAATTACTTACATCTATTAAGTTGTAAATGTTCTTTTATTCATACTTTCATTTGTAGGTACTAAAGTAAGAACTGCAGAGATAAATGTTGACTGATTCTCAAAGGAACTGTAATAGATGTTAGTTGTGAAAATTAAATCTATGTTTTTTAATATTTAGTAAAAACGATAACGGCTGAATAAAGTTCATCTGAAGTAATATTAGTTTTTACAGGATAAAGTTGACTTTCTGAAGAAGATATATGTTTTGTTCCCATTCATTTCAATGTTGAATAACACATCTGATTATAAACAGATTTGTATCCTCATCATGTTTTCTTTATTCAGACTGAGCGTCTGCCAGTTTGTCAGAGATCAGCTGTTCTCCTCTGATCTCAGCTCTGAAGTCCAACATCCATCTGAGAGATCTGGACTTGAGTTGGAACGATCTGCAGGATTCAGATGAGAAGCTGCTGAGAGATCTTCTGGAGACGCCAGACTGCAGACTGGAGACTCTCAAGTCAGTTCACTGACTCTCTGTTACTGCTGGAGATCTCATGTTTCATTAGTTATTCAACCTGATTCTTCTACATAATTAACTTACATCCATAAAGTTGCAAATGTTCTTTTATTCATACTTTCATTTGTAGGTACTAAAGTAAGACTGCAGAGATAAATGTTGACTGATTCTTAAAGGAACTGTAATAGATGTTAGTTGTGAAAAAGTAAATCTATGTCTTTAATATTTAGTAAACGATAACGTCTGAATAAAGTTCATCTGAAATAATATTAGTTTTCATAGGATAAAATTGACTTTCTGAAGAAGACATGTTTTTGTTCCCATTCATTTCAATGTTGAGTAACACATCTGATTATAAACAGATTTGTATCCTCATCATGTTTTTCTTTATTCAGACTGTGGGGCTGCAGTTTGTCAGAGATCAGCTGTTCTGCTCTGGCCTCAGCTCTGAAGTCCAACATCCATCTGAGAGAGTTGGACCTGTGGCACAACGATCTGCAGGATTCAGAGAAGCTGCTGAGAGATCTTCTGGAGAGTCCAGACTGCAGACTGGAGACTCTCTGGTCAGTAATACCCCTTTCACACCAAGGCTTTTCCCGTTCTTAGCTCCGTGCTAGAGCTTTTCTGGTTCAGAACCGGTTCTTCTTGTTCAAGCTCCCGCTCTGTTCACACCGCTCAGAGGCCTGACTGGTGGCTGCCGCTGCTTGCATCATGACGTCACAGTTTACGTCGCTGATTTTCTCCCAACGGAGCTCACCTCACAACAACAACGGGCCGGGGACTGCGTCGGGTCGATGATCGTGTTGCTTTTAATCATACGAAGCCAGATTAAATTAAATAACGACTTCTCCAACCTTATACTTTTCTCCAGAGTGCCGTGGTTCATTGTTTATTAATGTGTTTCAGCGGCATTTACCGACCGCTGCAGTGCTGGCTGCTCTTCCACGGGAGTGTATTCTCCCGTTAGCTCCGGGTTAGCTCACACGGCTCTAAAGTATTCACTGTCTGACTGTCACACAAGCAGCTGATACATATCCCCAGTTCCCCTTAAGTGAATGTGTGTCAGTCTGAATTGACGCTGTTTGGTGTCAGTCTGAATTGACGCTGTTTGGCATCACAACGCTGTTATGAAAGTTTCTCTGGTATAACATGGGTGATGTTAGCATAGCAACCGAAGCTAAACTGATTACTTGCTAAGCCGTTTTCTACAGGCACATTTTACCGGCGTATTTTTCATTATGATTCTATTTGTGATAGTCGGACATGACAACCTGTGTAGCCCATGTATTGATTCCATCCGATAGCTGCTATAATAACAAACAAAACGTCTGCCTGCTCTCCACAATGATCAATAACAGCGAACGGATGGTCTTAAAGTAAGGTACAAATAAACAGAATCACACGAAGCCTGGTTAGTGTTGCCTGACTTTATAAAGCGTGTATTTTTTTTACAAGTGTGTGGTTGCCTTCTAGTCACTTTGCTCAGCACTACTGCTTGTTACAACTTGTATTTGCCGTACTCGCCTTAACTGTTAGCTCAGGTTAATCTCGCCCCCCTCCGACGTAAGCGTGACGTATGCGGTTCTTGCTTCTAGACGGACAACCTTTTGGTGCTCGAAACGAACCGGATTCCGGAGTTAGAGGCTGCTCCGCTGCGGTGTGAACAGGAAAACCCGGTGCTTTTCAAGCTCCAGCTCCGAACCTGCCCTGAAACACCGTTGGTGTGAATGGGGTATAAGGGGTCTCTGCTGGTTCAGCAGTATTGTATGAACCACAGGGAGGTGTTTCTCTCACTGGGGAAACAGATCAGTGATGTTACCCACTGACTGCAGGCTCTTTCATTCTTCCATCAACTACAGAAGGCCAGCTGAACATGCAAAGCCACACTTTAGTAATCAACTCTCTAACAGACATATGGGGTTTTACAGAAGAGTGGGAAAGGTAGTCTGTTCTCATGGGATGTTTTTAGTATCTAGCCCAGGGGTGTCCAAACTGCGGCCCGGGGGCCAAATGCGGCCCTCGGCAAATTCTGAAAGTATAATGGAATATGGCCCACAAAGGAAACTTCTGCTTGTCTTGTATTGTACTTCTTAAATATATATGTACACATATATTACACAGTAGTATTAATGTGTTAATAATCCCACCTTTAAAATAAATTCAGTCAATTAAAGCTGAAAACATTTTCTAACAAATCTAACTTGATAAGAAAAAAGCCCAATAACTTATTTTTATAACAAGCGTGAAATAAACCCTTCATATTTCCTGTAATTATAATCAATCTGAAGCTCCTGTTTAAAGGAATGAGCTGCTGACAGAATATAGTAAACCCTCTGGAGAGCTGGGAGCTGTTTTGTTTCTTAAAGCATCCTCAAGTAACAAGCATCCTTTACCTTCATTTGATTGAGTTTCCTGACTTATAACTGAACTTATGAGGCAACATACCTCTAGAGAGCGGCCCAGGCCTTTATATATTTTTCTGTATGTGGCCCTCGGTGAAAAAGGTTTGGACCCCCCTGTTCTAGACCAATGACTGGTTACTTCCTGTAATGCAGCTGAGAGCTGTGGCAGGCAGTCGTAGTGTTTGCAGAGAAGATATGATGGGATGTAAAGCATGAGATCAGGACTCTGAAGCTGACTCAAAGAACAAACACTTATTTTAAACTGGATCTTATACTGTTGGATTGTGTTCGTCTCTACAGGATCAATGATCAGACGATCAGAGCCACGATCCAGAAGACCTGTGAGTACTGAAACCATATCCTCCATTCATCAAGATATGAAACTCTTTAATGGAGCGTGACCTCAGAGGAAAACAACACTCTTCTTTCTCTCTTCATCATTCTGGCTGTTTCTCTTTGTTTAATTATCATCATTATTCGCTCTCTCTCTCCTTCTCCTCTCAGGTGACAGGAAGTGAAGACACACAGAAAGGTGAGAGGTCGTACCGTGTGAAGTTTATTTATTTAGGTTTCAACACGTTTTTCTGGTGTTCCAGACAAATCTGTAAGCTCAGGTTTCATTTGTTCTCAGTTTATTCATCACGGGGCGAGTTTGAGACGTGAAGAGGAGCGTGGAGGCATTTTGGAAAATAAAGAAGAAGGCTGCAGCTGATGAGAGACTTCCTGTTGGCTCTCCTCAATATGAAATGAACAAAAACAATCAATTGTACTTAAAGCTTTTCTTAAGAAGAAAGATGTGTTGCACATACACCTGCTGCTACCTACCACCACCTCCCACCCATCCCGGCACCAAAGAGGAGACTCCATCGACCCCAGATACCCCAACTCACTCTTCTTCAGGTTAGCTTGGAGCCCCGCCTTTACCTGCCCCAACACCTCACTTTGAACGATGTAGTCATCCGGATATCTGCGTACTGAGAGTGGGACGCAGGACCCGGTCAATGAGCTGCTGGAAGGGGGTCCACTGGACTAGAGGGGCGCTTGGATCTGGAGTATGTGAACCTAGCTGGAGGGCTATTGGTGCCCCCTGTGGACCGAAAGAGACTCTTTTGGTTGGGGTAATGAGGTGGAAGTTATCTGCACCTATTAGTAGGAGAGGCTGCACTTTGGGAAAAGAGGGAAGGGGAAGGCCTTGTAGGCGGAGATAGTGTTTCTTGAGTTCATCCACAGGATCACTCTAGTCCACAAGTGAAAGTCTGTCGGAGGTGAATGTGTCTTTGATGAGGAATGTTTTCTTGGGATTGAAAGAGGGTTATATCTCAAAGGTCACTGAGGCTCCATTTCAGAATAATATATATGATATGTTTTATAATGATTGATCATTAAAGTGTTCTCAAAGCTGGTAAAGGTAAAAATCTCTCCATCCCCTCATATAGCTAT